TCGGACCGTGGACGTGGTACATTCCCAGACGTTTCGCCGGCATCGTAGTCAGCATCGTCAGTGAGTTTTATTATTCGTAGCACTATATTACAATTCTTCAAAGAGACAAGTGAAGTCGATCCTTTGACCAAACGTGTGCAAAACAGTTATGATATCTCCCGTTCTGCCCTGGCCTATCCTATAACCTCCAATCACGCCTTCACTGTCACAATATTTTACTTGCTTAAGAAAGTGTGGTTGGCTGTCATGCGAACTCTCTGCACTGGTTAATTGAAGATAGGAAGACCAAGATGCTGTGGCCTCTGGTATGGTCGTAGTCTCCTTTCGATTTATAGAAATGGGTTAACCTCGTCACAAATTGGTCTTGTTGTCAGGGGGACTTAGTAGAACGCACCTAGTCCGAAGTCGTCATGGTCCGAAGTTGTCATGATTCTCAGTATCAGACAATGGATTTTGTACATTCTCAAACGTTTCGCCGGCATCATCAGTGATTGCTGCTGTTCTCCCGACCAATCTACAAACTCGTCATGGACAAGTGAAGTCAATCCCTCGACCACCGTTCTGCCTAAAACGGTTACACTGTCAGAAAGAGGAGTGATAGTTTAACCGTTTTCGGCAGAACGTTTGTCAAGGGATTGACTTCATTTGTCTCTTTGACGAGTTCGTAGCTTGGTGTGAAGGATGGCAGCACTCACTGATGATGCCGATTACGATGCCGTAGAAACGTTAAAGAATGTCACAAGTCCACTGTCTGATGCTGGGAATCATGACAACTACTATGGCAGACGACTTCGAAATAAGTCGCCCTGACAACAAGACCAAGTTGCGACAACGAGGTCAACCCACTTCTTAATATGGTTATATGGGTCAGATAGTAAACTTGGAACTTGACGTCTCATCAACTTTTATTTTGTCTTTTTTTCGGCTTGTAATGTACAGCCTTCTGCAGAGGGTGCACTTCCCGATGATCCGACTCGAGTCTACGATTCAGATGCAGGCGAAGCTGGACTCCCAGCCGGCTATGACAGTTTTTCTGAAGCTTTAGCATCGCGCCAGCGTCGATTGCGTCGACTTCGGCGACGTGCTCGCCGTTTGGCCCGGATTGAGGCACAACTTAGGCAAAAAAAGGTCATCACTCAATCTGTGGCCCGGCACCGTCAGCGCCTATTGGCAGCCGAAAAAGCCGCTGAAGAGGATGCCCGCCGTGGTGGCGGTGGTGCCAGTGCCGTCGGTCATCGTCCTCCCGGCCGTCTTCATGGCAACCCTCGTTTTGGCTTGGTGGACAGAGAGGATATTTCCACAGCGGCTGACAGTGAGGACGGTGACACTCTATCCTGCAGAACCCGCCCTGATCCGGAGGAAACGGGCTCTCTGGACACCGATTCAGGCCATGGACCCGAGATCGAGCGAGCTGCCCAACCAGCAGCCGGTCTTGAATGGCTGGTACATCGCTATCATTTGGACGCGGATTTCGGTGATCAGGCCAGTCAGGTTGAGACTGGTCTCGTTTGGGCCCGCTTGAACGATTCTCATCACGTAGGCCGACAGTCAGAGGCAGGATTAGATGGCGGGCAGTTGTTGGGCGACTGGAAGACGGAGATGGCTAAGTCTGAGATAGACAGTCTGGAGAATGATGTCGACGTTGGGCTAAAAGATGAGGCTTTCAGCGACCTTAGCGCCGACGGCGAGGCAGACGATGACGAGGAAAAAGAGGGCGAGGGTTTTGGAGATGCAGAGGAGGCCGAGAGAGGACTCGCAAGAGAGGGGGAACGGCGTGAGGAGGCGGCTCGTCGACAATGGGCTGACGGTGACAGCTACGCTTGGCGACTGTTAAGACTTTGTGTTGTCCAGCTAGCCTGTCAAGAGGTCGAAAAACTACCTGATCTAATCGAATTCAGCCCCGATGGTCAGCAGCTTTGAGCCTAGTCACCCTTCTCCACCATAATTTTTTTACCAAGTTTTTATGACTTCAACTTTATACATTCATTAATTTTTTGAAAATTAATACTGAGCCAGCCTATACGGGACCGCATATTTGGATATCTCTATCATGATTCCATTGACATAACCTTATTTCCATTGTATATATTGATGGGCTGCTTGTATTCCCTAGAATATTTCTTAAGGCTTATCAATCACTTAAAAGGGCTCTCTAAGAGATTCAGCTTACGGACAAATAGGCTTTTATTGTTTATATTTCAGGTTTATTGCTCCTACTTTCATTGTGGGAATAGTATTGAACCTCTAAAACCGAAAACAAAGATGGTTTAATTCTACGATTAAATCGTATTACTTGTGAATTACTTACCTAATTTTAAGTAGCAATATAGAGGGTACTAGTTGTACTAACTTTAATACCTTTTATTTTTTTAGTCGCCAGCTTCTTTTTTCCTTAACCACTCAATTTCACTAGTCAAATATGACCCTAATGCCAGAACTTTAATCGAGAACTCCAAGGTCAGCATATTTTCGGACTTTTGCTCAGTTATTTTGGTCCAATCGGTTTTATCTCTCTGAGTAAAGGCTATCCCTTACGAACAATTCAATATCAGTGGTCTGACCTCGTCTTCGCAACTTGTTGGTGCTATCAGGCTGACTTAGTTGGACGCATTTTATCCAAAGTCTTCTGCTATAGTAGTTATCATAATTTCCAATGGTCCGACGCTGGGAATTGTGATAACTACAATAGTAGAGGACTTCGGACAAGGTGCATCCAACTAAGTCGTCTCGACAACTGGAACAAGCTGCAAAAACGTTCAGACTACTTTCATATATCGAAAGGAGACTGCGACAAAAATAGATGTCACAATATCTTATTCTCCATATTAATTTTATATCAGTTTCGATCTTATTCTGCTGCACCTCTATTGATACGAAGATACGATTTATATTGGTTTGACCTCGTTTTTGCCACTTTGTCGGAGTGTCAGTGACATTTTGTGGAATGTTCTTAGTCCTGCCTCCTCTGCCATATCATTCATTATGATTTCAAGCTAATCTCTACTGATGATGCCGACAAAAAGTCTGGGAATGTGCCATGTTAAAGGACCGATTCTGGAAATTATCATGGATATTATGACAGAGGACGCAGAAGTGGGTACGTCTCACATGGTCTTCCTGTCGTTCTAAGTTGCGAAAACGATTTTAAACTAACACTATAGCTTCGTTGTTGACACTCATTTGTTCGCTTTTTTTATTGAGACATTCTTATCTGGCATCATTCTTGCATTCTGATCTAAGCTTTGCAGTTTTTACCTCACCTTAGTTCAGAACAGTTTCTATTCGATAATCATTTTCGTTAACTACAGCCCTTTGGTTATATGAGTGATATTTGAGTAATCGGCTACTCACAGCTTTATAACAGAATACTGTTTTGAAATAAAAGGTTTTCTAAAATATGAAAACCAAGATTGTATGGTCTTTTGTATGGTCGCAATCTCCTTTCGTTGTATATAGGTTGTTTGACCTTGTTTTCGCAACTTGGTCATATTGTGTACCAACCTACAAACGTTGTGGTTCAACATTGAACCTAGTCAAAGTAAGCAGGACCACAACATTTGTAGGTTGACACACAATAGACTAGGGCATAGCAAGTCATAGACTTTGTATTAGGATAGATGTTGTATCAGAGACATGGTCCATGTAGCAACGGCTTGTCCATGAAACTTAATCAGAGGCTTTAGTCTCGAATTAGTCACCCAGACGCAAGAGAGAGCGAATAACAGATGGGGTGGCAGGGGTCGAGTGAAATACTTGAACCAGGAAGATAGCAGACGGATCCTACGAGGCAAGAGGGAAACTCTGACGGCGTAACAACATGGCAGACTCTGATCAACATTCCCAGAACAAGAGTCAGAGGGGGTGAGAACGCCAGGGTGGAGTGTGGAGAGTCCTCGTAAAAGCCGCTCAAAAGGGCACACCACACTACATGTAAATAAGCAAAGGAAAAATTGTGATAGTGAAGGCGTGATACGAAGATATAGGAAACGTGAATAGCCCAGGACATAAGAAGAGATACGACAACTGTTTAGCACACGTATGGTCAAAGGATCGGCTTCACTTGTCTCTTTGACGAGTTGTAGTCTGGTGCTAAGAATGACAATGCTTACTGACGATGCCGGCGAAACCTCTGAAAATGTACCAAATCCACGATCCGACCTTGGAAATGATCATGCATACAATGGACTTTGGACTAGGCGCGTTCCTCTATATGACCAAGATGCGAAAACAAGGTCAAACAACTTCTAATAAGCTTTTCGATTTATTTATCCAGCCTTTTTGGATAGTTTCGTGCGATTATATTTATACGTTAATCACATATCTTTTAATTTGTAGCTTGAATGCCACAGGTATCTTGGTACGAAGGCTTTTTATTAGCCTAAATTATAATAAATTTGCCTCTATTATTATGAGCGCGTTGCCTATGCTTCCTTTTGCTACTTATATCCAGAAATGATTAACAACTCAAGCGGCAAAAACATAACCTGTGCCAATGAAGTAGTAACAGCGGATTACAATTTAATAACAAGAGTACATTTTAGACATGAATCTCAATATGAGGTGGCCTAAGGTTTAATCACAGTCTCCTTTTATTGTTCTGGGTTAGTATGTCCGAACATAACTTGTGTTTTTATTTGGTGGTCGCTATCTAGAAATGGGACGTGCGGATTTCCAGAAGTAATTTTCTTAGGTGAATTCACATGTCCTAGTGGCATGCTTTTATCAATCGACTCATGTCCTGAATGAATTTATTCTCATTTTGATAATTAAGTAGCCAATCGCTAGCAGTTAAAATTATTCTTACATTTAATTTGTATGCAAAGTAAATAGCTCCCTTTGTGTTTTCTTGAATTTGCAATGAGGGCGACCGTTTTAAAATCTAAGAACATAAGAATCTAATCTATTTATTTATATTCTTGGATGATATTTACAAAGGCCAAAGTCGAGAAATACCAATTCTATTTATTTTTCTATGGAGAAAACCTACCTATATAGTAAGTTATTTTCTTCACGATCATTATATCCTTGCTAAGAAAGCCTACATATCTAGATGGTGGCAATCTCGTTCGCCTGTATACTCTTGGTTTGATCTCGTTTTTGCAATCTAGTGGAACCGATACTTAAACCTTTATGGTACGTACTTAGTCTTGTGTTCTCCGCCATAGTATTCATGATAATTTCCTGTATCGGACCGTTAAATTGGTACATTCCCAGAAGTTTCGTCGGCATCGTCAATAAGAGGCGTGAATCATAGCACAGAATCTCAGCTTATTGAAGGGACATTTGAGACAATCCCCTTGACTAATTTTCTGTTCGCCATTGTTCTGTTTCCTATCCCTTGGGCTTCATAACATATGAACGACTTTTCCCCTTTCCTACCCTCAGCTCATTCTGTCTGATTCTCTGGGGCTCTATCTGGCTTTCTCTGTAATCGCACACTTCCACCCAAGGTTCCTCTCAGTTTTGTATGTGTATATTGACTAGTAGCTACCTATTTTAGTCTTGAAATTGCTTCATCTTGAGCCACCTTCTCCTAAATACAAATGAACTTAACCCTTGTATTAGACGCCAATTAATATTGTGCCCCCAACTCGGTTTTCACACCCAATAGATTTGGAATAATTCTAGACACTAAACTTGGTCTCCCTTAATACTGTAGTGTTAAGGCACTATGATTCTTCATTTCTATATTCCTAGATGGTCCTAACCCGGTAATTTTTTGAAGCCGATTCTACGTTTGACTCCCGCTTTAAAATCGCCTTATCTTGACTTTAGTTGTCTCTCCTGATCCTCTTCCTATTTTTGAATAGACGTTCTTGGTCCAAGTCTTTTCTTCTAGCTATTCTTATTGAATCCTGCATTTTTTCACGTCTGCCTAAACAGTAAGCGAAATTATCATTGACTTATCTCTCCCAATCTCTTGTTTATTAGGTTTCTTTAAAAGAGCATGTCAACAGCCCCTCTGACCAGTTTTATTGTCCCTTCTCCGTATAAGGCCATTCGTTCTGTTGTATTCCAGTCAGTGATGTGGCTGGTCAGAGCAATATATTATATTCTCTTTGATCTTTTCCTATCCCTGGTTTTTCAGATTCGCTGGTGTTATTTATTTATTCTGCTGACTTCCCTTCTTTTTTCTCCAAAGTCCTTTATATATGAGATGATAGTCTATAAAACCGACTTATAAACGAAAAATTAAGCTAATATTGTAGATTCTGGGACACTTCATTTTGACTTTTTAATGTTGCTTAGGTAAACCTTCTTTCGGGATCGTACGCATAGTCCATTTCATTCACCACAAGCTATTCTGCATAAGGGTTAACATATCAATCGTTTTTTATGTCTCCCTTTTCTGTCTTTCCTTTCATAATCCTTATACTTCCATTGCTCTTTACGACCCGTGTATTTTGTTGTATTATTCATTTTGGATATCCGTTTGCATTAAATATATAAGTCAGTTTGACCAGTCCATCTTCATAAAAATCCATTTCCATTGGTCTTAGGCTCCATATTATTATCATACTCATGAGTATTCTGTCTGTATTCACTCTGTAATTATGGTGAGACTGGAAATTAATTATTATTCCTGCATATGATTTCTTTCTATTGGCTTTTTATTAAGAGTCTCCTCTGAGCGAATAACGTCTACATCCAAGAAAGGTGAACATCCGTTTTATTCCAACTCTTTTATATTCTACTTTTTCATCAATATCATTCGAGAAGATAAGTAGTTCGTCAAATTTTCTCTTCGTCTTTGCCTTTGGGGCAGGCATCGTATGTCTCTTATCTAATAGCCTTTGATGTAGGACCCAAATTCCGCAGAGACAAAATTGTTTTACACAATTGAATCAATATTTCTCCAGTTACCGTGGTTCTTTTTACTTTCCCTTGCCCTTCTAGATATCATAATCAGAATGTTTTAAGTAAACCGAAAGTTATCTCCAGAGGTTCGCAACATTTGACAATATATTTCACCCCTACGGCACATGAATATATCTATATAATTAACTCATGGTTGCTTTCACAACTTCATTTTATCGGCGGTATATCTCATTATTAAAGCATTAGGATATGTTTTAATCATGCATCACCATTATCATCATTCGAGTTTCTACATGTTAAGCCTGTATAAATTTGATGGATACTGATTTTTCTAATTTCGGGAACAGATCTAGCCATATACGCACCTGGAGTGGTAACTATCATCGACTTGCTCCGCTCTTGGCTATCGGCCTACCGTCATCTGGTTCTGGCTCCACCCGCTCTGGACCCTGCTCGTCTGCATCGGGGTCACTGCTTATCTACCAGCCCTCAGGAGCACCTCCTGCCACCGCCTGACTTTCTGCCATCTTTACAACTGAATAATATAATGGGAAAAACTCTCGGATCTGCGTTGACTGGCGCTTCGGCACAGCTAGGGCCAATTTTACAACCCGGGGCACCCAAAGGCAGCATGCCATCACCGGCAGCGACACGGGCCATGCTACGACTGCGGCACCTGATAGATCCGGCGAAAACACCGTTCTAGTATGCACTCTTTTACCATTTTCCCATTTACTTGGCTTACTATTCTTATTATGAAATTCGATTTTCCCACCTATTCAACTTGAGGGGAAAATACACAGAATCTGTGCCGGCATGAACAATCTATCAGCCTAACAAAGTCCCCATATTAGCTAGGAAGTCCTAGTTTATAGGCGAAAAAGCTTAATAATACTGAGATGAGACTACTTAAAGGACGATAACGTGGACGGATCCGTAAAGAACTAGGTCCATTTTATTTCTTATGTTGGCTTATTATTGCTTGATAGTGGCGATCTCTATTATGGAGAGGGAAGGAAGGTGTCTGGGCTTGACGAGGACTCTGAACGCCTGTTCAACTCGCATCAGGTGACTTGTTTAAATGCCGATTCACCATATAAAACTATCCTTTTCTGCCTCGGTGACTACAGCCCACAATTAAGTACGTGAGTGCGCGAATGCTCATTGGTTGGCTAACCTTCACTTCATTTTAAAATAAGAGATTAGAAGATGAGAGTAACTGTTGATCTTTCTCGGTCTTTTGTGGTTTGCCGACATTGGGATGGGTGTGCCAATGCATTCTTTTAGACATTGTTTCGATTTCACCCATAATGTGTAAGCTATTATCTTTCATGTGACAGACATCTTCGGAGCTGGATATCACTCCTTTAAAAGCCTTAAGGTAACATTTCAAGACTAATCGACTAATCCAGTAATTCCCGAACTGTGCGCCGCGGCGCCCTGGGGAGCTGCATGGATTTAAGATCCATTTAACACTAGTATTCCGTCTGAATTTACTTCTGTAGAAGAAGAAAATCCTGTCGAGTTATCTTGCGATAACAGTTTGAAAGCGAAATTTGGCAGCATGGAATTGAAGGAATTTTGGATTTCAATAAAAGATAAATATCCCCTTCTAATTGATAAGGCCCAGCGGATTCTAATTCCAGTTTCGACGTCTTATTTGTGCGAAGCTGGGTTTTCGGCGGTCGCTGTAATAAAAAGCAAGTATAGAGAAAAAGCAACGTGGAAAAGGAAATGAGGCTGGCCGTGTCCAGTTTAATTCCACG